TAAGGACTCTTTTAAAGTGTGGTCTGTCTTCTCACTTCTAAATACTACAGCCCAAATAATTTTTTTGGCTATAAAAATACGTCACTGATGATTTAGTAATCAGATCAGTAGAGAAGCAGTATTTACTCATAATCACCAAAATTTCAGAATTTAAAAAGCAACAATAAAAAAACCTCCCTGAAATTAGTCTTTTGATGAATACAAACTATATAAGTAAAAATGAAACTAAAAAGACAAATAATGAAATATCAAAATAGTTCTTGGCAGTGAAATAGAAATATCCCAAGTTACATTCTAGCCAGGTAGATAACAAAAGTCCCAGTATTCTGAACTATGCAAAAATGAATAACTCTGTAACATATTCCATTTATGTAAGGATCAAAAGAACCCCATAAGCCTTCTCTAACAAGCGAAGTTCATATCTCACATTTTAATTCCCAGATTACTATTGTTACCTATTTCTGTTATCTAATTTTATTTCATATTTTTTAAGATTTAGGTTCTGCAAAAGACTTACCCAGAGACCAACATACAAAAAGAGAAAACACCTCTGAGCAGTGAATGCTTCCAATCAACCTCTAAAATTAAAACTTGAAAAACAAACCAAAAAAAAGATAAGTCTGCCTGCCTAAACAGCCACAGCCCGAGCACTGCACTCATTCTCAACTAAGCCCCTGCAATTTAGTGCAGACATAAATTTATTACCTTGCTGCATTTGGATTTTAGTATTTCTTAAGTTTTATTGTGCCAGGAGTAGGGCCAACAAAAGATAAAGTAGAGCAAAATTCTAACAATCGCCTCTGTTAATTTCATCTGTGGGCTCCTTTTATGAGTAACTGCGTGCCCAATTTTGATCTCCAAGTAATGTTACAGCAATAAAACTGAACTGACTCCTTACACACACACATACACACACACCTCCTACACGACCTTGATAAAATGCAGAATTGGTTCATTACTGATCCTAATAGAGCACATTACCTAAATCGCTTTTGCCTCAGAGCTGCGAATCAACGAGTCCAAAGAAAGACACAAAGATAGCTCTAAGGGTGATACCCACTTCCTTCTATTTCAGACCAATTCTTTGGAAAACTGGTCTCCTCCAAATGAAAGGGAAGAAAACATCCACTGGCCTATGAGGAAAGATGACCCAAGGCCCAAGATCCACCGACATACGAGGAGTTATGATGTTGTGAGAACAGCCCTGATGACAGTAATATGGTCCCACGCTGCCCCTAAGATGCCCAGAACAATCCAGGGATAAAGATAAACTTCATATGTGAGGGAAGAGGGCCCTGCCTGGCCCACCAAGCTGCTAGACACATGAAACAATAATTTAAACTCGATTTAAATATGGGATCCCTTCCAGAAGTTTTAGCTATCTATTGTATTACCACATTCCCCGTTATTCGGTGGTTTCCTCTGTCTCAGACTCAAGTCCAACTACAGCATTTGCTTGGGCCAAATTCATAGAAAACTCCAAACTACCCAGATCACAGAGGACCCCGTTAAGTAGGGAGCAACAGTCACATAAAGAGAAGTCTTCTGGGCTTGAAAACATTCAGGCTGTCTGCTAACTTTCAGCAACACTGAAGGTAATTAAACCCAGTTTCTAAACACCCACACCCACAGCATCTGCATGTGTTACGTCATGGACTACAGCTCCATCCATGCCCTAAATTTACCTACCCGGTGAGTTTATTTTTCTTCTGTTATATCATAAGCACTAAAAGTTGTCCACCACTTCTGAATTTCTGGATGTTCATAAATCAATATTCTAAGCATTGGCCTTAAATGTTTATTTGTTTTGAGATCAGAAGATAAGATATCCCTAAGTGTGTCAAAATATGTGAGACAAACAGTAAGACACACAAAAGTTTCAACTGAAGAGCTGTGTGTGTCCAAGCTGCCACTGTCAGTTCAATTTTTTTTAATTAGAAAAATGTAAGTGTCTGATGTCCTGAAGGTGTTACAGCTAGTTGATAGCGTGGAATTTTATTTTCTAAGTGGCTGCCTGACACCATGGTTATCCAGCTAATAACTCAAATGGGAAATTGCTCCACAGCCAGAAATGCACACACAAGTGAGAATGCAATAAACCCACTTTGTTAATATCATGACACATCAGTTACACATTTTTTCTTTTGAATGTGCAGAAATAGCAGTTAAATCTCATGAATTTTAGACAAGAATGCTGCCCAGCTATTCCACCTTTTATTAAGCATTCCATAATCATTATTGTCCAGTCACTTAACTCCCATCTATTTTCCTTTCCATTTACCTTTTCTGGCTTCTACATGTTAAGAGACCCATCCAAAAAGGCAAACCTATTTTTACTAATGTATTGAAGGGGGAAAAAAATGCTCTCTGCAATTGTTTCATGACTATCTCTAAAATTGAGTTACATCCCTCCAGAAGATAAATATGTGGTCATTTCCAGTGGATTCTGGTCAACACCCACGCCTACAATTTAAGAGGAGGAGGTTTTCAAGAAACATTGATGGTTAGCAAGACATACGTGGAAAAAGTACTGAGCTTACAGGCCTCCTGATGGTAAACTATGAGATTTTTTTTCTGACTATTCTTTCCTAATCTAGCCTAGTGCCTTACATACAGTAGTAGCTTGATGAAAGCTTTTGAATAAAGGAATTTGCCCTAACCCTAATTTTAAAAAAATCATCTCTTCATTCTCTCCTACAGCCAATAACCATGCAGACTAATACCACTAGGGCTATAAAGTAGATTAAAAATCTGTTTTGTTGGAAGCAGAATGGGTTTGGGATAGGGGATTGTTGTAAAAAAAAGAATTTAGGAAAGGAATAATTGAATGTAAAAAGCAATTGATAAGCTGATCACAGATTACTAACGACAGTGTGCCAGGAGCTAAAGAGCAAAAGCAGGTCAATTTTGGACATTCACATTTCAGTAAACATTTTAAAATCAAAATTAAAAAGCGCCATTGTACCACCAACACCTCTCTGAACAACATAGCTCACACCCCTCTATAAAATCTTCTTGGTTCAGGCCAACAGCTGGCAAGTTGATCCCAGTAATTTTCTCTCTGCAGAAATAGCCCTGTGAGGGTAGAACTGACCCTCCTGGGCTAATAAGCCCAAACCAAACGCTCCAAACCTAGAGGGCTGCCATGGGAGGGACATTGTTGTGTTAAGTACTTTACAACAACTGTTTCTTCCCCTCTTGACACAGCCTGACTTCCTTAGAGAAGATTTGGCTGGCCAGACAGCTGTGTTGACCCTTAAGCCTTCTTTGATTCGTAATTTTTTTTAACAAACAGAATAGAAATTCACAACCCAAATCCTTCCCTAAGCTCCAATACTTCTTGAAAGATGTAGACATTTCAGGAGTCTATAAGCAGAAAGATAAAGAGAGGGTCCGTAAAATACTGAAACCTTTAGATGAAAGGCAAAAGAGACAAAAAGCGAGCAATCAACCTTTATCAGAAGATGATCCTTGAAGCTGTACGGGCAACATCTGCTTAATCACCTAAGAAATCACACTTTTCACTCAGACAGTGTGGCCCTAAACAACCAAGAACAGAGACAGGCATCCCTTCTTTCAAAAATAGTGACCATAATGATCACTCTGTGGTCATGAAGAGGTTTTGTTTCAGGATATTTCTTCATTATCCAGCTCATCCAAAATTGAATATATATGTATAAATGTAAAGTTATTATTTTTTCAAAACAGCAACAAAAAATGCCCAGTGTTCCTTCCACATGAGGATAAAATTCAAGAGTTTTGTAACAAAAGTCAAGTGAGTAGCAGCATTTTTTGTGTAGTGACTGGGTCTAATCACTTGGTCGATTTTTAGTAAGCCTCACTGTCCAAAGGAGAAGGGAAGGAAGATTTTTCTGCGCTTTCCCAATGCTTTTCCTTACAGAGCCCTCTCCAGTACATCCCCTTTCATTGTGTGTTCTTAATAACATTAGGGGAACTGTTTCTCATGCACGCTAACCCTCCTTTGATTATCCTCATAAAGTGCTGTCCCTTTCACTCACGAGTGACAAATGCTGCATTCTCCTGCGCGCGCACGCGCGCACCCATACAACCAACGGATTCCAGACCGAATGTACAAAGCCAGAGACCCCCGTTTCAGCCACTTTTCTTTCCTCCAAATCCTCCAAAGGCCTGCGAAGCAGATGTCTCTATGTATGATCAATTTTTGCAAGAACAAGTGGTTCCCTCTTTTTCCTCCGCTAAGCTAGCTTCTCCATGCCGGGGGAGAAGAAGGAAATTCTTCGAGCTCCCTCTCTCAGACATTATGGAGCTCTAGCTTCCTTGTATCCCACTTTCTTAAATACCTGCCTCCCAGTTCTCCTCAAAACACGCCAGAACGTTCTTGAGGACAGGAGGAAACTGGACACGCTGCGTGGTGGAAAGCATGGTTGGACAGGAACTTGGGAGAAGTATCAGGGAGGAATGGGCGTCAGGTCAGCCCCTACTTCTGACCTAAGGACTCTTCCTCTCGAAGACTAGAGAGACGCGGGAGGAACAAATGCAAGCCGAAAACGAGCACAAGGGGCAGAAACCCTGGAGATCGTGGGAGCGCTTCAGCCTCAGCGCCCAGCATTAGTGCAAGGGCGGTGCAGACACCTGGGAAAGATGCAGTGGGACCAGTGATTCCGTAACCGCAGCCGACAGGCAAGGGGCAACCCAGTAAGGAGAAGGGGCGGGTGTGGCTTAAGGGGTCAGAGGCTCGCAGATAGTGGCCTCTGGCAATGGTGAGTCAGGACGACTAAAATCTATGCGAACAGACCAGAAACCGAGCCATCACTCGCGGTTCTGCCGGGCTCCTCCAGCTGAGATAGTGCGCGCTGGCGCAGTTCCCTGCGGCCCCACGGGGTGCACAGGACGGTGAAGGGGGATCTACGAGTCTGGGCGTGCGACTGGGTGCCTCTTCCACCTTCCAGAAGAGGATGAGGACGAGGGAGGCCCGAGTTCCCAGCCCGCTGGGTGCCCCGCGGTGACGCGGCACTTACTTCTCATAGTCGTACTTGCAGTAAAGCTTCTTGTCCCGGTAGAAGCAGGTGGTCTCCAGGGGCTCTTTGCAGGAGGCGCACTGCACGCACTGCTCGTGCCAGAAGCTGTCGTTGAGCCGCAGCAGAAACCTGTCCGAGATGACCCGCTGACAGCCCTCGCAGACAGACTTGGGACTCACCGCTCTGCCTGCAGCCGCAACAGACGTTCGCGGGTGAGCGGCTCGGCCCCCACACGCCCAGCCAGACGCAGCCGGACGGCTCGCGACCGCTCCGCACCCCTGCCCTCCAACCCGGAAAGTCCCCAGCACCCGCCAAGCCAAACCTGGAAAAGCCAAACCAAGTGGCGTTTTCTAAAAAACGGAATATGTGGAAAGATTTAAATTCTAGGGGATGTGTGACAATCAATAAGCAGCCTTTAATTTCCGAGCACACCCACTTAGGCGCGCGCAAGAATGTGCGCGTCCTGTGAAGTGCATCCAGAATAAATTTGTGCATCCAGATTTACCACGTTGTGATTATTAAATCACTCACTACGGCTTTAATCTATTAACTATTTTTGAAGCAGAGTAAGCAAAAACAAGTTGTTTGCTTTTTCTTTTGTTCAAACGTCATGGTATTCTTTTTTGTTGTGGTGGTGATTTTGGTTTGTTTTTAAAGGAAAGCAAAATTCTCATGTCTTCCTAAAACATCCCATGGGTACAGAAAAAAAAAAAATTACCGGCTTGTCTCGGACAAACCCCGTATTGTTCAAACCAATGAACCCCAAACTGCTGAGTCTTGACTGGCATGCAGATTGTACATGGGTTTTTCATAATTAAGAAATGTCAAAATAGACGACAGGAAAAATGGGCGGGGAGCGCGGAGACGCTAAGAAGGGTCCGCGCCGGGATGGCGCAGGTCAGGAGCTTCCAGCAGCCTTGGTGAAGTGAAACCCCCCCAGCCCCACCCAACGCTTCCGGGGAATCTCCGAACTAAAGCCCCCACGTTGGCCCATTTTATTCCTTTAGTCTGCAGCGAGGGAGTGCTTTATTTTCCCCTGGGAGACAACGCCCGCGCCGCTCTGGTTGGGACGTTTTTTACAAATACCTGAAGAAGCCCTGTCCTGCCAGGACACCAGCTCCAGGTATCCTAAAGGTCCGACCTTCCGGCATTTTCCTGCTGTGCTTATGGTTTTTGTTTGTTTGTTTTTTGTCCCCCGCCCCCTTGGGAACTGGGCCCCGGCTTGTAAGAGGTGTCGGTCGCTTTGGGGAAAGGGGACAGATTCTAGGGGGAAAGACCAGATGAGTTTCAGTTTTTAAATTATCTTTTCTTTCTGCCTGGTCTCAGTAGCCCTGGGTCGCGACCCCGGCATTGGTAGCTGTTGCAAGCCTTGTGGAAGGCACCAGGCAAAACTCAGGGCGCGCTGGGTATCGCGGGGCCAGTGCCCTCTTTGGATACTGGACGAAGGGCCCATTTCCCCAGAAGGGAGGCTAAAAGAGGAGAGTGCACGGTGCGTGATTTAGTTTCCAGGTTAGTGTTTGCGAGCGGGGTGGAATTTCTTTCTGGGTATGGTCTCACCAGCCGAAATACCTCGTTTTCCGCCTGCATCTCGCTTTAGCGGTGTCGACAGAGGGGTGAGGAAAAAGGTTTAAACGACAGAAGGAAAAATCCTTCTTGGTTAAAAAAAATTGATAATAAATACATAAGTAAGTAAATTATCCTTTCTCCAAACTTGAAAAGGCCCGAGAGGCATAAGAGACACGGATAGCAAGAATCCCGGCCTGCGCTCCGGAGGGACGACGCGCGTGTCGCCCTTTTGAGTCCAGGACTCACTGCTGCTTTGCTGTAGCTGCGAAAGGGCTGGGGGTGGGGCGGGGGAACCCGCGGACCTGAGATCCAACTTCAGTTAATTAAAGCCGAGACGAGGGCCCTGCCGCGAGGGCTAATCCCCGCGCCTCGCTGCCCACCGGCCCGGAAAAGCCTCTCGGCCATGCCCAAGACAACTGAGGCTGGAGTTGTTGGCAAGGCAAGAAGCCGCCTCGAACTTGGGTGCTCCTGGCCTCTGCCCGTCCGCTTGCCCCAGGCCCCCGAGAAACCAGAGGCATTTATCAGCCGTCGATCAGCTCCGTGATTAAAAAAAACTCCAGCCCTGGGTAATTTTAATCACTTGCCATTCAAACGCCTGCGAACAAACTCTCCCGCCCCTCGTGGCTTTGGGGAATTCGAAGCCCCGCGCGTGAGCCCCTCGGAGACCTGTTGGTGTTATTGAGTGGGGACAGCTCAAAAGGACTGACAGATGCAGACTCGGACAGACGGAGTGGGTTCCACTGTGTGCGTGAAGAGGGGCTCTAGTACCCCCGTCGCTGATCAAGAAGTTGGGATCCAGAGCTCTGGCATGGCGACAGCGGGTGCGCCCATAGCGCACGGCCCTCATACTCACCCAGCAGCGAGGAGAAGGAGGCCGAAGTCTCGATCGCGCTCTGGAAGTTCTCCTCCATCTTCAGGCCGTCCAGCATGTTCGGGCCGGGCCCAGAAGACCTGTAGAGGAGAGGAAAAGATGCGTCTGGTTGGTGCCCCTGGGAATCAAAAAGCTGCTGTGCGCCTGGGACGGAGGGAGTGTCCAGGGCGACCAGAATGAGCCAGGAGGGTAGAGTCCAGCCAAAAGAAATGCGGGGTGGGAGGAGAGAGACGGTCACAGCGAACTGCTCCGACTGATCTGATTTCACTTGAAGTCAACGCGTTATGTACTTAGGCCTCCGCCCCCCAACTGTGTTTCTTCTTCTCCTGCCCCTCCACCCCCACCCTTGCCTCCAGGTTTCCCATCCCGAGACCGACTCCGCCCCAGCTTATACAAATGTGGGCCCTAGGGACTTCTCTGCTACTAGGAACTCAGCTACTAGAGAATGATGGAGATAAAAAGAAGAGGTGCTCTCTGTCACTCGACCGGGCCCAGACGCGCGGAAAGACCACGGCTACAGCCCACGCCCCGGTCCCCCGCTTTCGGCCCTCACCTGCCTGGGGTCGCAGACTGGCAGAGGGAGGAACTCGGAGAGGTCCCGCCTGCTTCCGTACTCCTGGCGCTGAGCTCTGCAGCGGGGCGCACGGGAGTGGGCGTGCGGGGCGCGCGGGGAGGTCCTCCCGCCGGTCGGCCAGGGCCGGGAATGTCTGCAGGAGCAAAGGAGTCGCCTCGGGGAGGAGCCGCGGCTGGCCCGACTCACTCTTGGATGCATTTCAAATTAACTTTCACAAACACGCCCGCCCGAGCGGTAGCCGGAGAGCCCGATGCCTTCCTTACCTGATGGGCGAGCTCACTCCCCGGGTCTGGAGCGCAGTGAAGTTGCGGGGCGCCTCGGAAAGCTTCGGCCGAGGCCGGCTACGCCCCCTAGGCTGCAGCCCGAGCAGCTGCCCCCCTCCCCGGCGCGCCCGGGAGAGAGCGGGAGCGAACGCTTGCCTCTGGCTCCGCTCCTCGGCGCGCCCGGGCCGGGCCGGGACGTGGCCACGAGCAGCCGGCCTTCTCGGGACGTCCCGCCAGCCCGCGTCGCTGTTCAGAGGCCAGGGAAGGCCGGATGCTTCCCCGAGGCTAGGAAGAAAGGCGGAGGCCCGGGTCCTGGGTGCAAGTTGGCCGTGCTTCTCTGGGGCGGATCCCGCGGCTTCTGACAGCCGCCGTGGCGCTGCGCGCGCGGTGGAGGGAAGGGGTGGGGTGCGCAGGGCGGGGGAGCTGGGAGTTCGTCCCGTGGCGGGGCCGTGGTGCTGGGTTTCCCGGCTTGGCTGCGCGGCCCACCTCGTGGCCACAGCGGGGTGCGCCCCTCTGCTGCTGGGACCTCCTCCAGGGCGCGCAAAGTTTCCTTGCCTCCACGTGGAACTGTTACCTTGCGGAGCTGCAACTGGGCCTTCGCGTCCAACTGACAGCGCGCGCGCCCGGGCTGGTTACCTGTGGCTCTGCAGCCAGTTCAGGGAGTGAGGTCTACCCGGCAGTCCTGTCCTCACCAGCACGGAAGTGCCTAGCTCTGTGAGCCGACAGACTGTGAACACCGGGCTCCTCAGACCTTCCTCCTTCCCCCAGGGGCTCTTGCAAGTTACCAACTTCCTTAGGGCTGAAACCCCATTTGCTGTGTGCAGACACCCTGAGACCCGCAGCCAAACCTTGAATCCTGCTCCTGGGAGGGCCTGGGTGGGATCTGATCCCAGAAAGCGAATTTGGGATGGCAGGAAGTCAGCTGAAAGGACATTCTTAGGGAACAAATGGGGGGAGGCAGTTCCCTCAACTCTTAACTTTAACAAAAGAAAACAACACTTCTGCCTCTCAAGGGGCCAGAAAAAGGTCTTGTTATCCTTTCTTTATTCCTGGAAGTACCTGCCCCCAAGAGGTTCAATAAACAAACCATAGCACTGGCTAAGGTGTGTCCAACGTTCATTTTGTATCAGGCTTGCTGACATAGTCAACTTATTCAGTCTTGACAGGGGCCCTAGGAGTTGAAGACTATTCCAGTATTGCGATATTACAGATGAAGGAGATCATGCACAGCACCTGTGAAATCCATGCCCCATCACCAGAATACCACAGGAAGGTCCAACATCATGGAATCCTCTGGGACGGACACCCTCAGTTCCTAACCTGAGCTGAGTTTGAATGACAGGCACTTTGGCCAGGTGAACCCGAGCAGAGGAGAGAACACAGAACCAGGGCTTTCTGTGACCTTCTCTAAGAGCAGTGCCACTTCCCAGCGCTAAAGAAAAAGTCCTGGCAGACATTGGCTCCCAGGTGCTTAGGAGCACCGATTCCCCACCTCCCACCCCGCCCCACACTTCCCATTAAGTGTTCTTTCCTCAACAGCACAAACCAAACACTGCATATGACTTCACAGAAACAAAGGAAAAGGGCAAAGAGTGTAATACCTTATATTTGAATGCTGCTTTCATACTTTTCAAGGCACTTCCATAGACACGATCTGGCTTGATCTTTACAACAAACCTGGGAGGTAGGCAGAACAAATAGTTTTATCCATTGTTTCAGATGAATCTTTGAGGCTTAGCATCCTGGAGGTGTTCTGATGTGGCCCAGATGGCCAATGGCAGGTCTCCTACCACCTGACCTTTGTCCTTTCTGCTACTACAAGGACGGCAGGGTGTGAAAAACTAGATATAAATTGTAAGTAATTCTTACAAGTATTGGTAGAGCCAATATCACCATAAGAAATTTTTTTGAATGCTCAATGAGAGTTTTGATTTCACTAAAGATCTTGAATTTGTGACATATGTTTAATGAGTGATAAGAACTGACTTTTTTTTTTCAAATATCCTGAAAGGGAATAGATTTGCATTGGCTATAAGACCCACGTCTTTCCAATGGTTCTTGAAGCCTGATGAGTATAAGATTATACAAGTTTGTGGGCAGAATATTTTTTCCCCCTGGGTTAGGCACTTGGGACAGGATTGTGTCTCATCCACATTATAACCCTGCTGTTCTTAAAACAGACTCAGACACACAAACATGATTAGAAAGTGTCATATGCTGGACAAGGAATGAGTGGACTCCTCCCTATAACAGGAAGCACTGCAGAGGAATCAAAGGGCCTCAGTCCCATTCCCTGCTCTGCCACTGAGTCCTGGCCACCACTTTTTGTCTCTGACATTAACCTGGCCTCTCTGGAATGGAAGCTCCATTCCACACAGCCTGCAAGGTCCTCCCAGCTTAAGATCTGTGAGGTGGACCTGGTTTTGGCCCCCCACAGAGTGGTGTAGCACAGGAAACTCTGGAGCATGTTATGTAATCCCTTCGAGGCTGACATGTCTAGATTAGGAAAGAGCCAATCCCTTTATTAAGCATTTCCTCCATTGTGATGTATTTCACCTTTCCCAGAGCACTGGGAATCATGAGCCTCATTCCTACTCAGTATGAATTCACCTTGCTGACACAAGGAGGGTTGATACATGACTGGTGCACATGCCGCCTGCCTTTCCATTTTTAATGCAAATGCAGTTATTTTACTTTTTTTTTTTTGTCAGTACAGTACTGGGGATTGAATCTCCAAGTCTTTAAAATATATATATACATATATATTTAAAATTTTTGAGACAGGGTTACTAAGTTTCAGCAGGCTGGGTTTCAATTTGCAATCCTCCTGCCTCAGCTTCATGGTCCTGAGATTACAGGAGCATAGTACCACACCTAGACAATGTTTTATTTTGACACAGAATCTTGTTAAATTACCCCATTAGGCTGTAATTTGATATTCTCCTGCCTCAGCCTCCCACAGTGCTAGAACTACAGGAATATGTGCCACCATGCCTGGCTTGTTTTATCTACTTGATGGATAAAGATGCCACACAGCCTCTGGCCAGGAGCCCTTTCGAAGAAATCCATGCCCCATTACCAGAATACCATCTTCTCCCTCTTTGAGAGAAATTTCTTCTCGGCATTTGTGGGAGGGAAGTAAAAAGACTTCAGAAAGAACTCCAGAAATTAGTTTTAGAGTAGGAAATGAACTTTAGGCTCGAGACTGCAATTGTCTGGTAATGAGTCAAATCCATTTCCCTGGAGCTGCCATGTTCTAGTCACCCAGCCCTGGGGCCCATCTTCCAGAGTCAGTTCCAGCTTCCAGAGCAGCTCTTACCGTCTGACCTGCTTTGCTCTGAATATCACCCCTGGCTCTGTGTGTGTCTGCAGTCAGAGGTGGTGCATTCAGGGCCTCAGTTTGGGGGAAATGCAACCCCCATTAATGTGGCTTTCTGTGTGTCAGCATTTTGAACAGCTGGTGTTGAGCCACAGAGGATAGGAGTTATGAAACCCTCCTCAGTCCACTCCTGTGTGGCCTGCTGTGGGTTGTGTGTCTGTCACATTACATTTATACAACTGGTGTTGGGACCTAAGCATGGAAATGTGCAGTTATCCTGGCTAAGAGATAGGCAGTGGTTTGGACATCAAGGACCTGACACCTTAAAACAGATCCCAAGAGGTCCAGGAAACAAATCTTAGCCTACTGCTTTGCTTTATGAGAGAAGCATGGGTCCCTTGCCAGGCTGATCTGAAAACTGCTCTCACGTGAGAAAAACAAGCTGGGTTCCAGCCCTTGTAACCTTGGGGTGCTTCATTGGAGGCTTCTCTGAATCCCTCCTGGTCCTTCTGCAACATCTGTCCTCAGCCAAACAGCACAAGGCTGAGAGGTATAGACCAGGTGTGGAGCTAGCCCTTCTATGGCAGAGAATAAGGAGCAAACATACCAGACTCATGGATCTTGGAGGGCAAGATTTGGAGAGAAGAGTAAAGATGAAGGCGTCGGAGAGCCATGCTTGGTGGGGGGGAAGAGGACAGGGAGGGGGCGCTGGATGTCCTGCTACAGAGTGGAGATGACAGGAACATGTTTTTTTACTTTCCTTTTCTTGCTCTCATTTCTGTGTTTTATTAAGGGAAACACAAAGGGAAAATTGTGTTATTTGTTAAAAAATGTCAAAGTGCATTTCCAGCAAGAGGAAAAGAAGCAGAGGCATTACTGCTCAGACACAGCACGCTGAGCCGGCGGCCTGAGGCTGGGGAGGCGGAGGACACACTTGAACAAGCTCCCCTGACCTCTGCATTCTTTTGCTGTGTAACCCCCAGTCTTGTGCTGACATTTAGATCTCTGAACAGAGCTGGACAACCAGGTG